CACTTCAAATTTACCTTAACAGGTTTCTTCAAGGCAGGATTTTCTAGTCTGAGGTTCCCCTGGTGGAAAACATTAGGCAGGACAGTGTATTTAAATTGCCCCTCAGGCAGGTCGTGGGCTTGTCTGTTTGTTTTATCAGGATTAGAACTGGGTTCTGTGTGGGGTACCCTGAATTGCCCACAGGATGACATAGTCTGGATTAAGCCTCTGGTGATGGGCATGCTGTGATTTCCCAAAAAGCTGTAGACCCAGGCACAGAGCTGCCTCCCACCAACAGCTGCCAATGGCATAGCTTACTATAAGTTAAAGCATTTCAGAATTAGGGGAGAAACTGCAGCCCCATGGAAATAAGAACAAAAGGCCTTGTTTCCTCGTGCTGGTAGAATCCTGAGAATTACAGAAATCCAGCACTGGCAGTATCGGCCAGGACCTCGGAGTGCGGCAATCCCTCAGGCTTCATTCCAGCTTCCATCACCTGGGTTGCATACCTTTCCGAAAGAATGGCCTTCAGTCAGGGTTCGCCGCAAGTTGTCCAAGGCTCTTTTCTCCCCCAGACTGTAGGTTATTCATGGAAGGGCCTCACTCTGAGGCCCATTGTGAGGGGAACCCCCGGTCTTTCAGCCCTTCTTACCTCGGCTATGTGATTTCACCCTGATTCTGGAAAAAGCCCCTCATTCTTCCACCCCTCCACCCCCACCCCACCCCACACCTCACCTACCACCCTCGTCGCGTCACTGGGCTGGTTTCAGAGTCCAGGAAGTAAAAGGTAAATTCTGTACAAGATCACATCCGCTCAGTGGCTACAGGAAACGGGAGAACTCAGGACTGGATGGCAGTGCTGTACGCCATCCTTGGATCGGGGCCTCACGCAACACTTTCCAGACAGCCTCAGGTAGTTCACAGACACCTAACTAACCCTAGAAAGAAACCTTCCCAAGCTCTTTCCGTTCCCCAAGAAATAGAGGAATAAAATCCGCTCTTCTGGAAACCCTCAAAAATCGGGGAGGGCCACTCTGCTTGAGTTGGCGGCACAATGTGTCCTAGGGCCATGCTATCCTCTGACCCAAAACCCCACTGAGTAGCTTGAGCAGCACCTGGTCATCTTAACAGGGATCCCCCAGAAAGAGCATGACCCAAATCCATTAGTCTGATTACCCCAGATGCTGTGATGGCTCCCCTCCTCAGCACCCTCGAGATTACTTAGCTGTTCTGAGAATACGGACCACGAGCTTTGTTTGCAGCCACCCATTTGTGACACTGTGTTTTCTGAAGAGGTCCTGCTCTGAGGGTTGAATGCCCTGGCCCACTGACGTGTGGGCCCTTTTAGGGGCACCATGTCAATGACTGAGAATCTCCCACAGCGTCCTCCCCTCCTGGCTCCATCTGACTTGCTGGAAGTCTGTCTGCATTCAAGCCTGCTGCCCCTTTGAGGAAGCACTGTGTTGCTCCCCCACCAACCTTCTGCCTCCACTTCCTGACCCTCTAGTCTCTTCCTTGCCCCCTTCGATTTGGTTCCCATCTACTCCAAATAAGCTGAATTTCTGAAATGATACGTGTGTTCCATATCCCAGGTGCTAAGGAATGAATGTGTCTTTTGATCCACTGGGGGTGCTCAGTAAAACAGGTGCAGAAACACCCACAACACCAGACAGAACGATCAAGTGCCAAAGAGAGAGAGAGAGAAGGTAGAGATGTCTGGGGGACACTCAGGAAATCTCCACGGAGGAAGCCGCGTTTAAGCTGAGCTTCAAGGACAAGTGGGATCTTGAACAGGCCAGGATGGGAGCAGCCCTGGCAAAGCAGAGAGCAGGGACAGCCCAGGAAGCATTCAGGCCACAGAAGAAGCAGGGATCTGAGTGAAGAGAGACTTCGGGGGACACACAGAGGAGTGCAGAGCTCAAGAGGCTTGGCTGAACTTGAATTTGGTGAGCCATTGAGTGTTAAGTGTGTTTGAGCAGGATTGACTGTGAGGAGTACTTATCAGACAGCAGTAACACCTCACAAACCGCGGCTTCACTCCAACTCGTCTGCTTATTAGTAACAAGGGAGTTGAGTCATTATTACAAAAGCAAAGGATCCCTGAGTTCTTTTATGCTAAGCCTCTTGGTTCTGTTCCATTCATGATAAAAAAAATAGAGACAATTCAATAGCCTCATAATGAGTAATTGACTTCAGAATCTTAATATGAGCAGGGTCTGAAGTGTTGTCATTCTGAGCCTCCCGAGGAAAAACATCTGAGCCTGTGCTCAGTAAACAAACTTTGAGGGAGCACGGGGTCATTTGCCTACCCCTCCACCTCTGAAATTTGGGGCTGCTCCAGCAGGATTTGAGGAGGGGTCCAGCAGGATTTGAGGAGGGGTCTGGGCCCTCCCACCTCAACCGTTCATCATGGGTTCCCTCCCAGTGCGACTTAGCAGAGAACTGGGTCATCACTTCACAATCTGAAACCAGCTGCCAAGAAGGCTCTTTCCCCAGGGCAGTATTGGCTGCTCCTGGAAGGCAAGCCCTGGTGAAATGGAAGGCCTTCGAGATAGCAAACAGGGCCGCAGGGGATAGCGATCAGAGCCCAGGAGGGTGGGCAGCCACAGGCTGGTGCTGAAATGTCACACTGCCTTGGCACACGTGCATCCTCCTGTTTCGGTTACTAGATACTTTTCACTTATTTAAAGATATCCAGCCAAAGCCGCCCTACGGGTATTTCTTTGCTGGGCAAGAGGACGAAGGCTGTGTATTTACAAACATACATTTAAATATCCTTCCCCCACCCCAGCCCAATGTTTAGGGCTTTTTCAATGAATTGTCTGAAAACTATTTTGCCCCAAATCATCGTGTGTTATTCTATTACTATCTTGCTTTAATAATATACGATTGTGGGTTATTAGGACTTTGCAAAATAGGTGAAGGGGGTCAAAAGGTACACACTTCCAGTGATAAGATAAATAAGTCCTGGGGATGGAATGTACAGCACAATGGCTAGAGTAAATAATACTGCACTGCATATTTGAAAATTGCTAAAAGAGTAGCTCTTAAAAGTTCTCATCACAAGAAAAAAATTTTTAACTATGTATGGTGGTAGATGTTAACTACACTTATTGTGGTAATCATTTCGCAATATATATAAAAATTGAATCATTATGCTATACACCTTAAACTAAGATAACATTTTATGTCAATTATATCTCAATTAAAAAAAAAATAAACTGCTTTTATAGCAACTCTACCTGTCAGGCAGTGCCCCGGTACTTGCGAAGGTCTTTGATTGAAGAAAGCCACAGGTTGGGGAATAGCAACAGTTCTTCCCCAGGTTCTCTTGCAGCCTCAGTTTCTCCTTCTGAAAATAGAATAGACAATGTCATCTAGTTAGTGAATCAGTGTCTGAAAAGTATTTTGAGACGGAGGCATGAAAACTACCATAAGTCCAGAGCTACAGATACAGTTCATCTTAAGCAACAGAAGTATTCTCGTGTGTAACCTGAACATTCTTAATGCAGCCAAGAAACTCACAATTTAAAAGTACCTTTTAGTGAATGCATTGATGAAATGGAAAATTATTTGGCCTGATTAGACATGTTTCAAACATTCGGAATTTCTTAACACAATTTTTTTTTAACACAATGGAAGTTAGGATGGCTTGTTCTTTATCATGTCATCCCACTTATTAAATTAGATGACTTCTTCTTACTCGTATATTATATTTAGCTCTAGAGCAAGATCTTAATTGCTTAAACTATTCAATTTATTAATCCAACTAGGCCTGTTCCTCTTTGGAGCTCATAAGCGCTTCTTCCCAGGAGAGGAAGGGGAAGGGAAAGTCAATGAAAATTAAATGAGTTAATTTTGCTATTTTTTTTAATAAACTTGAGGAATGGGTTGATGAAAAACAAAGTTCAAACTTATTATGGAGCTGTTTATATTTCAATTATCCCTGCTATCTTCAAATAGTTGCTGGAAAATGGGCATATTTAAATACCTGTTGAGAACAATGACTCTCCCACTGTAATACATGGTTCACAAGGGTGGTCCATCTGTCCTGCCTGGGGGAGCCAGAGAGTTAAGCAGGCTGTGTTCTCTGGCCAGCTCTGCCCCTCTCCTGCATTACCTCAACTCCCTCTGCACCACCTATGTCAGTCTGGCTAAGGGCTTTCAAAAACAACCAAAGGAAGACATGAACCTGTGCAAAACAATGAAGCAGTAGAGCGTGAATCCTGTAGCATTATGATCTCCTTGTAGCTTCTGTGGTTTTGCTTGAATGTAGGGCTGCCGTCTCTCTGAGAGGAGTGATGCTTTATGTATGTACAATAGCTTTACTCAAGGAATGATTCTGTTTTAGATTTATTTGACACATGGACGTACAGAATCTTCATAAGTATATAACAGTACTTTGTATCAGGCATTTAGTAATTCTTTATGGAACACTTCAGGAAAACATTTTGATGCTTTCCATAAAATTCTTAATAGATTTTTATGTTCTTAACCTTTAACTGGGAAACAGTTTCTAATTTTTGTCATCCGCATAGCCCTCCCTTTTAGTATCTCTTCAGCAGACTCTGCTCAGAATAATATTTAATAAGATGAGCTTTCCACATTTCTAATAAGATTTCCACATTTCTAATGTTTATTACTATTCCTTAAATGCTCATAAAGGTCATGTTTTCCCCCAATACTAATGTAATAACCTCAAAAACAGTCAACAGTAAGAGCACAAACCCCTTAATTGACTTTACACAGAGAAAATGCATGAAAAAGTATTGCTCTACCCGATACACATAGACTCACTAAAGGCAGCTCTGGTGAAAAACAGAGCAGCAGACTTCATTATCATTCTGTCACTTAACTACATGAGGGAGTATAAGCAAGTCACCAAACACTTTGAGCCTCAATTTCCTCATTTGTATAATGGGAATGATCCCTTCTAAGACTTTTGTAAGAATTAAATATGTGTGAATGAGTTTTGTAAACTATGAAATAGTGCCAAGATATAAAGGCATTATTACCATTATTTATACCTCTGAAATGACAGAAAGGTCTCCAGGTCTTTTAAAGAGCTTAAGAAAGAAGGTTGGGGGTCTGAGAGATTAAAAACTTAAAAAGAAGTCAAAAGTAAGAGCCAAACACTTAATGTGTGAACACACGTAGGTGATACCCATGAGTACACTAGCATATACGAAGAACAGGCACCTAATGCCACAGGTCGATGTCTTGTTTGTGAATAATTGTTTTACTTAATATCAAAATAAATGAGTTGATCTTTGACATCGCTCTTAGCAATATTTATTTGGATATGCCTCCTTGGTCAAGGGAAACAAAAGAAAAAAATAGACAAACGGGGCTACATCAAACTAAAGAGTTTTTGCACAGTGAAGGAAACCACCAACAAAATGAAAGAACAACTCAATGAATGGGAGAAGATTTTTGCCAATGATAAATTCAATAAGGGGTTAATATCTAAAATACATAAGGAACTCATACAACTGAACACCAAAAAACAAACTGTAAAGTTTAAAAAATGGGCAGAGGACCTGAACTAACATTTTTCCAAAGAGCACATACAGATGCCCAACAGACATATGAAAAGATGCTAGACATCACTAATAATCATGGAAATGCAAATAAAAACCACAATGAGATACCACCTAACACCTGTCAGAATGGCTATCATCAATAAATCAACAAATGAGTGCTGGCAAGGATGTGGAGAAAAGGGAACCCTGGTGCACTGTTGGTGGGACTGCAGATTGGTGCAGCCACTACAGAAAATAGTATGGAGGTTCCTCAAAAAATTAAAAATGGGACTACCATATGACCCAGCAGTTCCACTCCTGGGTATTTAGCCAAAGAAATTCAAAACACAAATTCGAAAAAATATATGCACCCCTATGTTTATTGCAGCGTTATTTACAATAGTCAAGATATGGAAGCAATATAGGTGTCCATCCATAGACTACTGGATAGAGAAGATGTGGTACACATATATAAATGTACTATTAGTCAGACAAAAAAAGAATGAAATCTTGCCACTTGCAACAACATGGATGGACCTAGAGGGTATTATGCTAAGTCAAATAAGTCAGACAAAGACAAATACCATATGATTTCACTTATATGTAGAATCTAAAAATAAAATAAATGAACAAACAAAACAGAAATGAACTGATAGATACAGAGAACTGATGGTTGCCAGATGGGAGGGGATGTAGGGAGACTAATAAGTACAAATTGGCAGTTACAAAAATAGTCCCAGGGATGTAAAGTACAGCATAGGGAATAACTATGTATGCTGTCAGATGGGCACTAGATTTATCAGAGGAATCCCTTCACAAGTTATATAGAAGTCTAATCACTAGGTTGTACACCTGAAACTAATATATTATTGTATGTCAACTGTAATAAAAAAAATGAGTTGTCATAATAGCAGAATCTAAAACACTCTCTTCTATTTCTCTAGCATGGGGGTTTGCTTTCTTTTTTCTTTTTCTTTTTTTTTTAAGATTTTATTGGGGAATTGGGGAAGGTAACAGTGTTGGAGAATTGGGGAAGGGGAACATTGTGTTTTTCTAGGGCTCATCAGCTCCAGGTCAAGTTGTCCTTCAATCTTAGTTGTGGAGGGCGCAAGTTCAACTCCAAGTCCAGTTGCCACTTTCAATCTAGTTTTGTGTGTGTGTGTGTGTGTGTGTGTGGGTGGGGGAAGGGGACAGCCCACCATCCCATGCGGAGTCTAACCAGCAACCTTGTACAGCTGAGTCATCTGGCCACCCATTGGCAGCTCAGCAGCAGCTCAGCCTGGGTGCAGTTCAATGGCCCATGCGGGAATCGAACCAGTGACTCTGTTGCTCAGAGCTCGTGCTCTAACCAACTGCACCACCCGGCCGGCCCCAGAGGGTGTGCTTTCTTATCCACACTATAACCGATTTCTCTGCTGTCCTCTGACTCCAAACCATCACTCCCAACTCTACTTTAGCTCTCCTTGTTTTCTTGAAATCATGGGATATGACCCTCTTCATTCCCCCAAAATGCTGCTCGTGTTACAAGGTTGGGGAGTCCCAGAGAGTATTACCACACAACTTGCAAATACTTCAAATTTAACGTCAGACATCATTGCTCCCTTAAAGTCCCATCATTTCTCACATCAAGAATGTTTTACATCCATGTCTCTCCATAGGGCCTGGCCTTCTATCATGTTTCTAGCTAGCCCTCCCTGCCCTGACTCCTCCAGACCCTTCCATTTCCCTCTTCAGGGTCCCAACCCCTTCTTGAGATGCCAGTGGATTGCTCCTGTTTCTGTATCATGCAGAATAATTTCACTTTTTTTTTTTTTTAAGTGTGTACTTCTCCCATCTCAAGCATTCTCAGGGAGCCTGGCCTTTCACAACCAAGATGATGGATGGATGAACAAACTTAATGAATGAGATGCCCGGCAGACAGTCTAAAACAAGGTTCCAGTCCAAAACCAGAGTAAGCAGTCAGCTTGTTAAATGAAACAAATAACGCCCAGAGGTGGAGATTTTTCAGGTCATCGTCGGACAAAGTAATATTTGAAGACAGGGTGATGAATGCCTTTGCCCAAGGAAAGCAGTGTGAACTCTGCTGAAGACTCAACTTTGGGAAAAATACTTATATGTAATGAATGGTCCAAACTGAAAGCTAGAATGAGAACTAAGAGAATACAGCTTCAGAATGATGTAGGAATGGACCCTGTAGGGGTTCAGAAGGAGTCACCCATGATGTGCCTCGGTGATATACAGAATATTTTGAGCTAAAGGCAACCGAGACCCTGTGGGTTCAAGAGAAACTTCTGGGGCCGGCCGAGTGGCGCAATGGTTAAGAACTGGCTTGGGACCCCCATAGGGCCCCGGTTCGGATCCCACATGTGAGGGCCAGTGACACTGCCCTCTACAGCTAAGATGCTGAACAACGGCTCAACCTGGAGCTGGGCTGCCGTGAGTCGCCGGCGATGGTGTAGGCTGCAGCCCCTGTGGCAGTGGGTTGCCATGGGCTACCGTGTGTAGCCAGCAGCCAGTGTGAGAGGCCAGCAGCCACAGTGAGCGGCCGTCCAGAAGCCGGCGACTGATCTGCCTCACCCGGGAAGAGCGCAATGATGGTGCCAACTTGGGCCAGTGAAGCAACATCCTCCACAACTAGACTGAAGAACAAAACGACAGCAACTTGTCTGTTCCCCTCCCCCCAATTCCCCAGCACTGTTCCCATTCCCCCAATTCCCCAATAAAAATCTTTAAAAAAAAAAAAAGAGAGAAACTTCTGCTCCCTGCCCTTTAACTCTCTAGAAGATTTAAATTAGGAGCCTGGTCCACAATAAGAGTTATCACCAGAAATGACTCTTTACCCATGGCAGGGCAAACTACTAATTACTGAGCATGTGCCCTCCCCGCAATTATCTCTGAAGCCCCAAGTTGCATGACCTCATCCCTAGCTCAGAATGTTGTATATACCTCAATTTCCCTTTCTGTCTCTGAACCTCTCATATATGTGGGGTCTCTGACTCTCACATAGGCGGGGTTCCCATACATATGTATGTAATTAAATTTGGTCATTTTCTCTTGCTAATCTGTCTCATGTCTATTTAATTATTAGACCAGCAGAAAGAACCTTGAGGGTAGAGCAAAGTTTCTTCTTCCCCCACAACAGCGAGAATCTGGGCAATGAATGGGAAGTGAAATGGAGAAGTCAATAAATATAGTGATGCTACTACATTCCAATGTGAATCATTTTCAAAGTTAGTAAACATTTTAATAAAAAGAGCTTTATTCCCGTAGCTGGTTTATTCAGGATTCTCAGCATAAAATGGCTGTCAGCATCTGCCCGCAGCTGTTTCTGCTGAATTCTCATTTCCCACAGAGTAGCAGTACATCAGTGATCAGATTGGCCAGATTCAATAATTTCCTTAACATTTTTGGTTATTAGACCAGTCTCACTTTTATATTTAAGATTTGGTTCTAATTATTAAAAAGCAACAACAAAAAAGAAAATAACAAGTGTTGGTAAGGGTGTGGAGAGATGGGAAACCTCATACACCGCCGGTGGGAATGTAGAATGGTACAGCTGCTGTGAAAAACAGTATGGTGGTTCCTCAAAAAGTTAAACATAGAATCACCATACGATTCAGCAACTCCACTTCTGGGCAAACACTCAAAATCACTGAAAGCAAGAACTCAAACAGACTGTTGTGCACTCATGTTCACTGCAGCATTATTCACAACAGCCAAAAGATGGAAGCAACCCAAGTGTCCAATGTCAGAAAATGGTTATACAGGGCCGGCCAAGTGGCTCATTAAGAGTTGGCTTGGGAGCATGAGCTCTGAGCAGCAAGGCCGCCGGTTTGGATCCCACATGGGCCAGTGACACTGCACCCTCTAAAGCTAAGATGGTGAACAACAGCTGGACCTGGAGCTGGGCTGCCGTGAGTTGCCGGCGACAGCGTAGGCTGCAGTGGGGCTGCCATAGGCTGCTGTGAACTACCGTGAGTGGCCGGCAGCCAAAGTGAACGGCTGGCAGCCGGCGTGAGCTGCCGTGAGCCGCCATGAATGGCTGTCCAGTGGCCGGCGACCAATCTGCCTCACCCAGGAAGAGCGCAATGATAATACCAACATGGGCCAGTGAAGCAACATCCTCCACAATTAGACTGAAGAACAAAACAACAGCAGCTTGTCTTTTCCCCTTCCCTGATTCCCCAACGCTGTTCCCTCCCCCAATTTCCCAATAAAATCTTTAAGAAAAAAAAAAAAAGAAAACAGTTATGCAAAATGTGACCAAAACCTACAATGAATGGAATAGTGTTCAGTCTTAAAAAAGGAGGAAATTCTAACACATGTTGACAACATAGATGATCCTTGAAAACATTATGCTAAGTGAGAGAAGCCAAACACAAAAGGACAAATATTATATGATTCAACTTATATTAAGTCTCTAGAATCGGCAAATCCATAGAGACAGAAAGGAGAATGGTGGCTACTAAGGGCTGGTCAGAGGGGGAACTGGGAAGATGGTGTTTAATGGGTAGAGTTCCCATTTCGGATCATGAAAAAGTCCTGGAGATGGATGGTGGTGATGGTAGCACAATGCTGTGAATATACTTAATGCCACTAAATTGTACACTTAAAAGTCATTAACATGCTGAATTTTATGGTACATATATTTTACCACAATAAATTTTTTTTAAAAAAGATTCAGTACTAGGTGTTTGAAAACTTCCATCTCAAACTCACTTGCCCAGCTCGTCGACCCGCAGCAGCTTGCTGGCTCTGCCCCTCCAATAGCTTCTGTGTTCCTGAGCCCCGGAACCAATAGGTCCTCTTCTATACTCATGCTTGGAAGGGCTTGGAGATCGGGGGTGGGTGGAGCTGCCCCATCTGCTTTCCAGGCTCACTGTGCTTGCAGCCCTTCAAACCCCAGTGGACTGGATACTCCTGTGACATCTCCAGCCTGGGAGCGGGCATGCGTCCTTCAGGTCTGTCCCCAAAACTCAGGGGGAAGGAGGTTTTGCTCCTTGGCTCCCTCTCATCCTGCTCAGCTTCCTGTGGCCTGAGTGAAACTGTGGGGTCTGCACCTTAGCAAGAGTCCGATATCCCCAATCTTTATGAGTGATTGTCTTAGGACTCTCCCCCTGAGGGTTTAAAGGAACCTCCTTCTTCTTTGTGGTAGGCGGAATTCTAAGCCAGCCCCCAAGGCTTTAGCCCCCTTAAATTTGAGTGGAACCTGTGACTATGATGGGATATCTCCTCTGTGATTATGTCACATTATGTGGCAAAAGCGATTTTGTAGATGTCAAGACCCTGGTCAGCTGACTTGGAGATGATTAGAAGGGAGGTTATTTTGGGTGGATAGAAAAGGAATACCTCTTCCACCCCCTCCCCACAGGAAAAAGGGAACAGCCCACCACCATGAGTACTAACTGCATCTCCACAGAGCTTAGGGCCCCCAAGCCTCTTCTTAGTTTGGAAAAGGAGGTGGGGTTGGGGGTGCAGTCAGTGGCAGGATCAGTTCAGACGAGTTAACTGGCAGTAAATCCTGAGGAGGCGGTTAGTTCTTGGTGACTCCTTGAATTTGGAGTGTAAGAAATGATAAGTACCTTTGGTCCTCATTTGCAATGCTAGGACAAAGAGGGAGAAAATCACACATTTGATTACTCACAGTGGATGGTAGCATCTGCTGTGATTTCCCTTTTCTTTTCCTGTTGGGATTCTCTTTTTTAAAACTTATTTAACAATCTAGAAATTGAAATGAAATATTTTAAGCTTGTCAAAGAATTGCCAGTAAGGTTCCCCATCCTCCCCTTGCCCGATATTGCAACTTGGAAATACAAGTGAGACCCAGTGCCTGAGAGCCTGGTGACATCTAGGTGGCCCTGATGGGAATCGAGTTTTTTGGGCCTGTAAAGCTGGAGGGCAGACTGGACTTTACAGCCCCATGAAGTAGTCAACTGTCCTTCCTGGTGATTCCTTTGTCCTCAGTCCTTGACTGCAATACTAGGTTAAGTGCTCATTCAAAACTCAGAGAATCCTCAAGTTCAGGGTCACATCAAACAGGAAGTTATGTTGTGGATTCCCAACAGAATTGTATAGAAAAATATCAGCCCTCAAGCTTAGAAATCGGGTATCATGAAATCTTTTAACTGAAATGGGTTCACAAGAATTCAGCTTAGCAGAAAGGTAACGCAAGCTACAAATGTTCGGTTCTCCACTGACTATGCTCACCTTTGCTTCCAAATGTGTTACCTGCTCTGTCTGTAACAGAAATGGGACTGGGTCTCACTGGGTCCTGCTCTGACCTGACATATACCTGAAGCCAGTTTCAGCCCATATTCAGAACTCCTGAAAACAAAGTTGACTCCAAAAGTACTCAGGAGGAGTGCAGGTGTTGGTGAAGGTCTGGGGGGAAGACAGAGAGTGTTAAGACACTTGCATAGGAAGCTTCCTAAGGCTGTTTGGAAAAGTCTCTCTCTCCCTCAGCAGCTAGGCGCCTTATCCCCAGTCACCCCAGACACCACAGGTCCCCAAGCCATTTCCAAAACACGGTCAGCTGTGCATACTCGCTCTGTAAACAGAAAATTAGAGGTCAACGGAAGCAAAACAAGTTGTCCTCAGCCAAATGTTAACTACCAATTACTCCTCAGGCGTATCTCTGGGGGAATGTACTCCATTTTACTATTTTCATTTACAGAATCACATATACAAGTATTCTATCTGGGGATTAACAGATCGTTAGTGATTAAACAGTTTATTATCTGATTCTTGCTGTATACCATCAGCCCCTCCTGGACTATAAATTCCAGTAGACAGGGAACTTATCTATGCCATTCACAGTTGTATCTCCTAGACCTTACCCATAGGAACGCCTGGCACATAAGAGACTACAGATAATTTCTGGATGAAGAACGAATGGGCGCCATACATCCTCTTTTCCTGGACCTCAGTCAGTTGACAGGTCGTAAAGTTTGCAGGAGCAGTACTTGTTCACCAGGGACCTTTTGGAGCCTTGCTTCTTTTTTTCAGAACTCTTATCATTAAATTTTAGGAATAACTTATTTACCATTTTCTTCCATAATTGTTTATTCCACATGTTTCTCCTTCAAATACTGATCTGGAATACGAACAAGGTAGCACATCATCTACTTGCTTTCAGGAAGTATGAAACATTTCATTATTATTGTTTTATAGTTTTTCTCTAAACTCATCACCTAAACTCCAGGTCGTAATTACTTCATCTGTTGAAGTAGAATAATTATTTCCTTTTTTTAAAGTCAAGAAATTTCACTAGCAAGTCATCCTTGATGTGTATCATTCTCCTCTTGCTTCCTTCCTTCCATCATCTATCAAATATCTATTGAACGTTGGCTATAAACCAGACTCTATGCTATGTACATTTGTATTTATTGTCTCATATAAAAAACAATATTTATTGTCTGTGTTGATTTATAAAAGTAATATAGAGTCACAACAGAAAATTTGGAACATGTACAATACTATGAATAAGAATCACATAATCAGAGTCAGAAACAGTAACTGTCATCCTTTTTATATATTTCCTTCTAGTTTGTCCATATAGACATGCATTTTCCATAGCTGAAATTATAATTTACATACAATTTTACAATGTTCTTTTCCCCCCTTAAACAATAATTCAGGTATTTGCTTGTGTTCATGAAAAATTCCTCATTTTTAATAGCTGCATAAGAGTTCATTTAAACTTCCCCTAATTTTGGATGTTTTGGTTGTTTCTAATTTTCTGACATTATAAAAAAGAAGACAGTGCATATCTTAATGTAAAAATCTTTGTGCTCATTTCTGATTATTTCTATAGAATCCCTAGATGGAATTACAGATCAAATATATAAACATTTTTAAGGCTCTTAAAATATTTCACAAAATTGCTTTCAAATAGTTATACCAACTTATGTTCCCACTAATAATACATAAAATTGCCCATTTCACTGCACTCCTGCCAGTACTGAATATTAGAATTTAAGAAAATATTTCCTAATTTAATAGGTGCAAAATTGTGTATTTTTTAAATTTTTCATTTTTTAAGTTACTAGGTAGTCCAAACACTTTAAAATATAATTACACACACACACACAGAGCTAACTACTAACCATTTTTATTTTCTTTTTGAGGAAAATTTTCCATTGAGTCGTTAGAGCTTTCTTATCAATTTGTGTGTACTCTTGTATTGAGGATAAAATTAACTGTCAGATTTGTTGTGCATAGTTCTGTGGGAGTTTTTTTTCCTTTTCAAATTTTGTTCATAATATTTTTAGTTGTCAGAATTTCAAATTCAAATCTAGTCTAATGGTCATTTCCTGTATGATTTTCCCATTTCTTTTCTTCCCCCATTTTGAGGTCACATAAAGATTTGCCTAAATTTTCTCCTGGTTTTAAAATTCTTTAATATAGCTGAAATTTCCTGTAGCATATAATGAAAGGTAAGGCCTCAACTTGATTTTTTTCAAATTACTAATTTTCTCAAGCCCATTTACTGAGAATCCATCTCTTTATCATTTATTTTAGATGACTCTTTTATCACATATTAAAGTCTACAACATACCAACACTATCTTTTTCTGGGTTATCTATTCCATTCTATTATCTACATCATTCAATATCTATTATTTTTCTATTATACTTTAAATTATTATAGCCTCATTTCAATAATAAACAGAGCAATTTACCATATTTTTCTTCATTTTCATAATTTTCTTAACTTATCTCATCTGCTATTTGTTCAGGTAAATGTTAAAAATAATTCTGTTTTAGCCTCACAGGGTAGGTGTAAATAGCCTCGTTGTACAAATGAGGAACTGAGTCTCAAAAAGAATAAATAGCTCAAGTTTATACATCTCCACCGTGGAAGAGGCATAAAGCAAAATCATGTCTTAACATTTCCCCTTTCGGCTTTAAAATGCTATAATTTTTTAGTAAAGAAAACTCATGAAATTTCTTACTAACCATTCTTTCTCCTCCCCTATCTGCCTCTCTCTAGTGGCCATCACAGATATTGCACTTTCTCAAATCATACACAGTACTGTAATTAATTTTATAAAATAAAAACATGTTTAGCTTAACTCCTTTAGTTTACTTAAAATTTTTAAACTTACACAAAGCTCATAAGAACAATTGTCTAATATTTGGGGGTCATGCATTACCAGCAATTGTTTAGCAAAGACCAGCCCTCAGAAGACATTTATTTAAAAGTTGAGTGACCATACAATTTTATAAATTTCATGGGTTTTAAGAAGTAACAATAGCATATATAAAGACCTACAGATGTTCCTTTGTTCCTTTTTTCCCCTTGACATTATCTAGGTGCTCTGATGAATAACTATCTTTCAATTCCCCCTCTAAGCCCCACTTCATGTCCTTTCTTACCTCCTTTCATGTCCTTCTGCTCTTTTAGTCATTATGTGTACGTTCAGTTGGCACAAAGGTGCCTAGACAGGGGTGCAGAGGGGACTGAAAGCCAGCCTGTGCTCAGGTAGTCACGCTGGGCCCTGGCTAGGTCTGCATCAGCCCAGAGGAAGAGCCACCTATTTGTAATTCCCACAAAGATCTGAGATGTGCTAGCAGGGGACTGCCCTCATCTCCCCTGCTGCTTCCTGGTTGAAACCCCCAGTCTCATTTTCTTCCCTGCTCATTTCCTGCCCACCCGCCTTGTTTGCCTTTTGCGCTTCCCCTTCTTCCTTCCTATCTGATCATCCTTCAATTTCTTATTTCTTCTTCAACTGTTAGAAAAGATATTGTGTAAAATTAAATCTTTACACAAAAGATAATGTGCAAATTAAAATTTTTAAGTAAACTAAAGAATCTAAGTTAAAATATGTTTATACATCTAAAAGGTTAACAAAGCAAAAAGTACAATAATAAAAAGAAAAAAATTCTGGGAATTTTTTTATCAAAATGTCTTTTTCTTTATCTGAGTTCCTTTAAAGACAAGGGTTGCCTATATTACCTCTCACCTGCCGGTGCTTAATATTATTTAACCAATTAAGCCAATTAATGATAAATGCATTGGTATTTAACACACTATGGAACAAAATTTAAGAGAAAAAAAATGTGAAAAGAAAGCTTAGGCTCATTATTCATCAAGGATTAAGGACAGAATTGATTACCTTCTGGATTTGGTTCAGAAAGGGGGGATAATAACACTTGCCTGATTAACTAGCACGTTGGGTAGATTAAAGTGCTTTGCAAACATTAATTAAAGATGCAGGGAGTTAGATGAGGCCAATGTGTTATTAGAGAAAAAGTTTTCTCCCCTTTAATCAGGTATCTCTTCCTGGGGAGGGCAAAGAAATGATCTAAGGGCTAAGGAATTGGGGCTCAGCCCTGAGTGCTGCCAGTGAGTCAGCCATTCTGTACAGCCAACCACTTCCTTCCTGAGTTTTCTGTAGAATGGGGATAAGCACGAACAGCATTTTGGAATATAGGTGGTTATAATGTCTGCCCTTTGAGTATATAGCAAACACTACAATTAATAAAACCCGTAACTCTTGCTTTCTCCCTCCCCAGAGAGTTGTTCCTCCCCACGGAAACACTGGTAACATTAACTCCCACCAATTTACAAAGCGTTCCACACCAGCTATTACCTCAGTCGATGTTTCCAGTGATAGAGTCAAGGAGAAAATAGCACCGAGCAATGGGGTGAAAACTCTGCAACGAGTTTCTTGGCCTCTTTGAACCTGTTTTCCTGAGATTCCTCCTCTGCAGAATGGGAGCAAGAAATCAGGGCACAGTTGTGAGGGTTAAACGAAATAATATGTGCATGTTAAATGCTTTGTCCAAAGGTAGTAAGTATTCTATATATAGTAGTTATTATTGTCATTCAATATAAAATAACCTCTCAAAGCTGACGGGGCGGGGAAGAGGGAATGTTGGGGGAGGATGTCCC